GTTTTGGTTTTAAAAGTAATTAATATAAAATAATCCAATACAAAATAAGGTACAGACCTAAACAGATAACTCTTAACAGACAAATCTCAACTGGCTGAAAGATACCTAAGAAAGTGCTCAACATCCTTAGCCATCAGAGACATGCAAATCAAAACAGCTCTGAGATTCCATCTTTTACCTGTCAGAATGGCCAAGATCAAAAATACTAATGACAGCTTATTCTGGAGAGGATGTGAGGTAAAGGGAACACTCCTCCATTGCTGGTGAGAGTGCAAGCTGGTACAGCCCCTTAGATATCAGTGTGGTGGTTTCTCAGAAAATTAGGAAACAATCTTCCTCAAGACCCAGCAATACCACTTTTGGGCATGTACCCAAAGGATGCTCAGTTGTACCACAAGGACTACAAGGACATGTTTCAGCTATGTTCATAGCAGCATTGTTTGTCATAGTCAGAACCTGGAGACAACCTAAATGCCCCTCAACCAAAGAATGGATAAGGAAAATGTGGTACATTTACACAATGGAGTACTACACAGCAGAAAAAAAAACCAATGACACCTTGAAATTTGTGGGCAAATGGGTGGATCTAAAAAACATCATATTGAGTGAGGTTACCCAGACCCAGAAAGACAAATATCATATGTACTCACTCGTAAGTGGCTTCTAGGTATAAAGCTAAGAAAAGCCAGCCTACAATTCACAATCCCAGAGAACCCAGACATCAATGAGGACATACATGGATCTAAACTATATGGGACATAGAAAAAGACAAGATCTCCTGAGTAAATTTGGAGCATTGGGGTTATGGGAGAGAGTAGAAGGGGAAAGGGGAGTAGAGAAAAGTATATAGTGCTATCAAAGCAATAAAAAAAAAGAAAAAGTAATTAATACGTTTTGGGGGGGGTCAGAAACTGTTTTGCTTTTAGTATAACTGGCACAAGCAGGCATTTTCTCTGTGGTTTCTGTTTGGTAAAAGCTTGGGTTGACTAGGACTGGGAGCAGGAGAAGCTAGATGCTGCACTAATGAAGCCAAAGAAAGCCGGACCAGGAAGGGACTAACAGGCTGTTGACCAACAGAGCAGGTAGAAGGTTTTCAGGTAGGATTTTACTCTGCAAACCTGCTTATTATAGAAGCTCATTTAATATAAAGCTCTAGGCTTTCCTAGAGGTCACCATGTAGCCCCGGTAGGCAGGAGAGGTCACCATACTCCTGCCTCAGCCTCCCAAGTTCTAGAATTTACAGATGTGGGCTCCACCCCTGGCCTCAGTTTTTTTCATGAAATAAAATAAAATCTGACAATAAATGTCAGAGGGGAAGGGGAAGGGTGTCATCTTGGTCTTTAAAAAAATAAAGGAAAAATGTTAAGTATGTCTTCGGAAGTGTATATAATACTGACGATTTAGACCTTTTCAGCACCTTTTCTTGTGTTCTGTAAAATTTAAGATTTTGTTTGAAAGAATTCCCAGGATTATCATAGCACATGCTGCTGACCTGTTGGTTTTGCTGCCAGAAAATACAACTGGCAATTACCAACTTTTCTTACGTTCTTTTCATGTGTCTAGTTTTCATGTCTATAGTCTATAAATACATAGAAAAAGATGCGCCTACATAAACAAAATCAGCAGGTTGTTAGAAGCAAGATGTGGAGCAGAATGAATTAAAGCTTTGTTTTTTTCTGTATACCTCATGTTGTTTAAACATTAAGGGTATTTGATATTCTTTTTTCAGGTAAACTCAGAGAAAGAAAGTCTGGGAATGTAGTTCAGACAATGTGCTTAGCATGCTCAGAGCCCTGGTTTCAGTCCTGAGCCCCCAAATAAATTAAGTAAATAAGCAAATAGATAGATTAAAATAAAAAAAAATAGGGTAAGAAAATTCTAAAGTCGCTTGTTGGGACTGGAGAGATGTTTTAGTGGTCAAAATCATGCAGTAGACTTGGGTTCAGTTCCCAGCCATATAGTATTTCAGAACTGGTCATGACTGCATTTTCAGGAGATCCAGCACCTTCTTCTGACTTCCATAGACATCATGCATGACTGCTGCACATCCATTCATGTGGGCAAAGCCAGCGCATCTCAGAAAAAGTAGTTTTTTTCTGCGCTTTCCTGAAAGAGACAGAAGAGTGCAGGAATTGAACCTAGGGTCCTATTTATCCTAATCACACATTTTAACATTCAACTACCCCACAGCAATTCTGTTTCGATTATTTTGGTTTTAAAGCAGTGTAGCTGTAGCAGGAGGCGGCTCTTTTGTTCCCAGACGCCCATACCCAAATTATCACACAGAAACTATATTAATTACAATATTGTTTGGCCTACTAGCTCAGGCTTCTTATTAACTAACTCTTAGATCTTAAATTAACCCATTTCTATTATCCTGTGTATCATCACAAGGTTGTGGCCTACCGGTAAGGTTTTGGTGGTGGTGTCTTTCTTCAGCAGCTACATGGTGTCTCTTTGACTTCATCTACTTTCTCTCTATATCTCTGTTTGGATATCCCTCCTGGCTTTATTCTTTAAAGCCATTTGTGGTTTGAGTAAAAATGGCCCCTAAGCTCTTAGATCTGAATGCTTGGTCACCAGGGAGTGGCACTATTTGAAAGGATTAGGAGGATAACCTTGTTGAAGGAATGTGTCACTGGGATAGGCTTTTGAAAAAAGCCCGTGCCAAACCCTGACTCTCCTTCTTCCTCAAAAGATCAGGTTGTAGCTCTCAGCGACTTCTCCAGCACCATTTCTGCTTGTGCGCATCGTGCTTCCTAGTGATAATGGACTAGACCTTTGAAACTGTAAGCAGGCCTCAATTCAATGCCTGCCCGCCCGCCCTCCCTTCCTTCCTCCCTCTCTCCCTCCCTCCCTTCTTTTCTTTCTAGTCTTCTTGAGACAGGGTCTTGTCTGTAGCCCTGGCTGGCTTGGAGCTATCTATAATGCTAGTCTTGAACAATGGTCTTTCTGCCTCGATACACTAGAATTATAGGCATGTGTCATCGCACTTAGTATTTGAAAATTCTTATACCCTTTTTCACTTTTCTGATTCCATTTATCACTGACGTCAAATACTTACTTGGAAAAATGAAGAAGGACACTTAAAAGAAATCCCACACTAGCTCAGAATTGAGAAATAGATGGTTATTTATTTAGGGGTAGACTCCCAAATCAGAATCCTCTGCTGAAATGGAGATCAGAAACCGAAATCTGCAACCTGAACAGAGAGGCTGGACAAAGAGGCTGGACACATTCTCTACATCAGCATATCAAGTATAAGAGGCCATGCCCCAGTGGGCGGATAACCACTGGCTGTAAGACTTCCTACAGCCGAAAATGTTTTGCTCTTATTTGTAAGGATTTCTCTTTCTTGTTGGGTGTGATGGCTGTGGTGCACACCTTTTGTCCTCATACTTGGAAGGCAGAGTCACTATGAGTTTAAGGCCAGCCTGGTCTACACAGAGAGTCAGCCAGGTATACACAATGAGACTGTCTAAAAAAAAAAAAAATCTCTTTCTCTCCTGTTATTTCATTTTTTTTCATAATATTTACTTATTACCTGCAGTCAAGCAATGTGAGATTCAAGTTTTCTTACAAAAAATATGACTGACCTCAAATTTGTTAAATAGCTAAGGATGACATTGTGTTTCTGGTCCTGTCTTGACTTCCTGTGTGCTGGGATTTATAGGATGCACTGCCACAGATAGTTGAGATTCATACTTAAACACTATATCTGTTTGTTTCTTATGTATACAAAACCCAAACATGGTTTTATGTAATGTTTTTAGTAATTTAGTATATGAAATAGTTTTATGATGTGGAATTTTCTGCTCAGTGTCAAGGCAACATTATAACATTTCAGTTTTCTGAACATTTTAGTCTGTGTGTGTGTGTGTATTTTGGCCAGAGACCAGTGGTGGGTGTCTTCTTCAATTGTTTTTTACCTTATGTTTTGAAACGAGGTCTCTCACTGAATCTGGGGCTCACAGGATGTCTAGGCCGTTTTGCTAGTGAGTGTCAAAGAATCCGCCTTGGTTTCAGCCTCCTCAGTACTTGACTACAGTAGCATGCCACCATACCCCACCTGTATGTGGGCACCGGAAGTCCAAACCTGTGCCCTCATGCTTACACAGTGAGCACCTTATGACTGAGCCATCTCTCCAGTCCTGTTTTGGGGTTCTGGTTTGGGATGCTCAGCTTATTATAAAGAGACTTGACAGTGCATTGGGAAGATTTTCCCTCCCCATTTCCTGTTCTCCTCCCCTGAATCTTAGTCCTCTCAATTTAGTCACCTTTGACATTTCTATAACTAGTATCTCTTCAGTTATCTGTGTCTGAAAAGGAATTGCCAAATAAAGGTTATATTCCGAAGTTTTATTTTTTGTAAAATTATAAGTAGCCATGAAATTTTTATCTCCCATCTTCAGTCTTTCCCTGATAGGCAGATTGTTTAAGCTTGTAGATTTGAAGACTACCTTAAATGCTGTGTTTTCTGTCATTTAAAATTTATTTACTTTTGAGAATTTCATACATTGAGTACCTTGTTTGCATCATTTCATCCCTTCCTCTCCCCGCTCTAATTCTTCCTGTCTCCATCAACTCCCTTCCACACTCCTGACCACTTCTTGCTTTACAACTATTGCTATAATGCTACATGTGCTTCTTTACAGGTGTGAGAGTTGTGTGGATTTACTGTTCGTGAGAGGAGCTGGGAACTGTCCTGAGTGTGGCACTCCACTGAGAAAGAGCAACTTCAGGGTGCAGCTCTTTGAAGATCCCACTGTTGACAAGGAGGTTGAGATTCGGAAAAAAGTGCTGAAGATGTAAGTGTTATTTACTGCTGAGGGTCTGGCCAGCAAAGACAGCTTGGACAGTTATCTCAGTAGTCATCATCGTTATCTGCTCATATCGGCTTGGACGAATTGGCAAATAACAAAGTAGTTATAAAAATCAGCTATACACTTACTTTACAAAATTTGTTAAGTTTATGGTAACTATACCATCTACCCTTTGTTAAAGAACTGTCTTCATGAATTTGCATGTCATCCTGGTGCAGGGGCCATGCTAATTTTCTATGTGTTGTTCCAGTTTTAGTATTTGTGCTGCTGAAATGAGCACGAGAACTTTCTTGGTGTTTTCACAGTTTATTCATTTGCTATTATTTAATTAGCAAATACCTGTGTTATATGTATTAGCAGTAATTAAAATATGGTGTGTAAGAGCTGTCAACCTTGTTCTCATGAGGCTTACTAGTAAAATAGTGTAGGATATTAAGGGGATAGAAAATAAAGTAGTGAACACCAGATTTACTGTAAGGACTCGTGAGAACATTTAAGTTTCAATTTGAAGCTCATTTAGAGACACTAAAATATTAGCTGTACTTTATTTTGGCATGCATGTGGCTACATTTTTATGATTTGTTAGTAGTTTTGAGTTTCATTTATTTGCCCCCTTTGTTATAGGTATTTTATTATTTTTAAATTAATACGTTTTCTTAAGGTTTTGTTTTGTTTTTGGTGTTGGAGGATTGAATGTAATGCCTTGGGTACTCTAAGCATGGACTCTACCTCTGAGCCACAAAGCTAAATTGTGATAGACTCCCCCGCCCCTGCATGGTTTCTCTGCATATCCCAGGCTGTTCTGACACTGGCTCTGTGGACCAGGCTAGCCTCAAATTCAGAGATCCGCCTGCCTCTGCCTTCCCACGTGCCTGGGATTAAAGGTGTGTATCACCACCACCTGGCTTATTTTTATATTGTCTGTCTGTGAGTGTTTGTGTGTGCACATCTGCATGCTGGTGCTCTGGGAGCTAGAGCTGTCGCGTTGGATCCACACAAAGCTGGAGTTACAAGCAGTGGTAAACCTCAGACGTGGGTGCTGGGAACTGAACTCAGGGCTTCAGAGGATTTCAGATTTGTTTTTCTTTCTTTTTTTCAAGTTATTAGTTTATTTTCAATCTTATCTAGTATAAGAATTCAAGAGTTTAATCTTCCTCTTAAACATTCTTTATATCTGTTAAAAGAGTGAATTCAGCATCCTTGTTTCTTAAGTAGTCGGTGTTTTACTATAAAGGAAGGAGCAGCAAATCCAGATCCACAGTACAGGGTCCTCATAGCCAGTAGTCACCACTGTTTCCCACTGAAAGTGGCAAATTCTTCCTCATAGTGCCCGCAACAGACCACAGAGATGGTGGGCCTCAGATGCTCTGGCTAGCATTTTGCTGCTGGAAGTTCTGCAAGGGCATAGAGAAGGAAGGTGGACGAAAGGGCTGTAACACTTCCATTTCCTTTTCTTGTGACCTGGCTATCCTGAGCACAGCATGGCTCCTAACCGCTGACCCACCTCTCCAGCCCCTCTCAGTTATTGTGTTGGGGGCGTACATTTTACTAATGGCTTAGTGACATCTTCCTAGATGCTGAATCGATTATACTTTATCAGTCACCAGCTGATCTTTACTTGTGCTACTTCAAGGAGTCACCTTTTGTTATTCACAGGTACATTACAATATCTATATATTTTGTGACATGCTTTTTTTAAAGGTTACTATTTGTCATGAAAAACCATCGAGTCTTTTTTTTTCATTTGAGCTTTGGTTTTCTGGACTTAATGACTATAATAAATAAATAAATAATAAAATTTTAATTTCTAACTTAAGTTCATTTCACATCCCTGAAGCACCTCATTAAATCTCTTTCCTTAAGTTCTTTAAGAAGTATCCTGTGATAGCATTCTCTCCTGATGCTACATCGTCTTTGTAATCCTAAGAATTTTCAGAACAGTGTTTCTGGGTTGCATGCATAGCTCGGTGGTAGAACACATGCTTATCTTGAACAAAAATCAACCTTCCACACCCCAGAAAAACAAAACAAGACCAAAGTCAGCCCAACAAACCTCCCCTCTCTCAAAACCAGCTTGCGTTCTCAGTCTAGTATAAACCAGCATCAAGGAAACCGGGTTTCACACAGTACACCATTGCTGTCTCTGTACCATGTATGAGTTAAGTAGGAATGAGCAAGCTGCTTATATAAGATGGTCTTCAATCATATGTAATACTTGAATTTTTTTCTCTGTAGATATAATAAAAGAGAAGAAGATTTTCCTAGTCTAAGAGAGTATAATGATTTCCTGGAAGAAGTGGAGGAAATTGGTATGTTTAAATTTGATGTGCTAGTCTTTGGATAGTGTGCTGACGACCTTTTAGATGCCTAGACAGTATCTCGCACAAAAGACTCTTGATGGTTTTGTTCTGGTAGCCCATATTTATAGGTTTCTTTCCTTTACAATTGAATCACATATGTCAAATTTAAATCATACAAATTAATGGGTATTCTTAAGTAATTTTGTCTTAGAGGAATTATTATAGAGGGAATAGCTTTTAGCTGGGGAGAAGGGTGTGTCCACATTACCAGCTCTACCAAAGCAGTTTTAGCAAAAGGGAATACTTTGACTTACTTTGTAGGATTTCTGTTAACTTTGTCTGCAATAACAAAAGATAAGAATGTTTTTACTGTTTATGCTTCTGTGGAATAGTAGGTTGGGAAGACTTTGCAGTAGCATTTTTTAGTCAGTGTTTTCCAGGCAGACAGAATGATCTGAGAACTCCTTTTTTCTTTCTTCCTTTCTTTCTTCCTTCCTTCCTTCCTTCCTTCCTTCCTTCCTTCCTTCCTTCCTTCCTTCCTTCCTTTCTTTCTTTCTTTCTTTCTTTCTTTCTTTTTCTTTAAACAGAACTTGCCTCAAGTTTATTTGTAAAAACAGCATAAGGTCCTGATCATCTGCAAATACTGTATAGATTTTCACACCAGTCCATCTGTCTTCACATTGGCAGACTGAGATCTTTTTTATGGGGCCTTCACAGGGGCCTGGGCACCTTTGGGAACCTGAGCTGCAGCTGAGGCCTCTGCCTTGGCTTGAACCTTGGGCTTTGTTTTTTGGAGCCCACGACCCCTGGCCATGTAGCTTCTAATTCGCTTCCCAAGCTTGGGGTAAGCAATGAAAGCAAGATGGGTGAGTTTGCAGTTGGGGCCCTTTGGCATCTTGGGCTTCACCACCTGGGGCTTCACCAGGGTCTTGATGGCCTCCGCACGGGCCCTCATGGCCTTTGCATTATTTGCCTGCATCTTCTTCAGGCCTTTCATGTTGTGCTTCTTGGCAAAGCACATGTTCCTCAGGAACTTGGGGTCGACCCCCTTGAGAGATTCGTATCTTTGTGACCGGGGTTTCTTGATGCTATTTCTGTGCCATTTCCGGGACTGGTTGTGTGTGGTGTGGTTCTTGGACTTGGCCATGGCTGGACTGTAATCGGTGGCTCCCGAACCCGAGAACTCCTTTTCAATGTGGTTAGTCATAAGGTGTTTTCCTCCCAAAAGAGTGTTGTGTCTCCTAGCTTCTCTCACTTCCAGTGCTGGTTAGGGATTAAGCCTTGTTTCTGTTTTGCTAAAGAGAATTTCAGAACTATTAAAAGGTATGGGAGTTTTGATATATTAATTAAAAATTAAGATTTTTTTTTAAAGTTGTGATAATTGAAGCTGTTGAGATGACTCAGCTTGCTACCACACCTGAAGACTTGAGTTCCATTCTGGGACCCACAAAGTGGAAGGAGAGAACCAACTCTCCAAGTTGTTTGACCACTACACATGTGCACTAAATAAACCAATGTAAAGCACACATTAAACAAGTTACTATAAAACAAAAAGTTACTGTATTTATTACAAAGTGCAGATTTGGAAATGATAAAAGGGTATAGCCTATGAAACAGTGAGGATCAAATAGTCATCTTATTCTCCCAGTTCACAACTTTGTTATTAAAATAGAATAAAAAAATCATCAGGTTTTTATATGTGACAAATTAAAAAATTCAAATTATTTAGGTATTAATATTACAATTTTTCAAAATTTCCTTCTGGGAAAGTCTAGATATCTCTTTCCTATCAGGATTTTTCTATAGTGTCTATGGTATTTGCTATGCCATAGTAGAAGCATGTGCAGAACATAATCTAAATTTTTTTCTGATGTATTTTAGTAGCTTAGCACTGTTGCCTTTTCATTCTCAGTGCACTCATGTGCTTTGTGTGTATTAGCAACCTGAGTAGTGTGGGCTTGACTAGGAAGATGGTAGAATGTATTGATGCAAAGGGGCACCTTAGGGACAGACCAGGAAGATACTCAGGTATAGAACAAGCAGGAGGCTTTCCGCCACAAGAAATGGTTTACATACATCCTAAAGTTGTCATGATTAGTCAGGACTCTGGTGATACAAAGCAGGTAAAAGAGGGCAAGTTGAAAACACTGTTACAGTTCTAGCCAAGTATTCTAGGTAGCTAAAGAAAACTGAAGGACAAAGAAACTGCGGACCAGGTTTAAGGGCTGAAACAGCAAGGGGACCTTGATTTTTCATGGCGTTCTGGTTGAGCCTATTTATGTATCTCTTTTTCTGTGATATGAACTAATGTGAGGGAGTGAGCAACCTGGGGCCCACAGGGTCATGGTGCTAGTAATGGGACAGAGTAAGCTTGGATTTTGTGACTATACAACATGTATATTTTCTTCCTTTTCTTTGAGATGAAGTTTCTCTGTGTGGCCTTGGATGTTCTGATAACTGTTTTGTAGGTCAGGTTGGTTTTGAGCTTGCAAAGTCGTCCTGCCTCTGCTTCCCAGAGTCTGAGATTCCAGGCATGCGCCATCACCCCTGACCTGTAATACCTTCCCTTTTTCTGTGTGTGTGTGTGTGTGTGCATGTGGAGGCTAGAGTCAATGTTGGATGTCTTCTGTCATTGTCCACTTTCTTTCTTGAGACAGGGTCCCTTGCTGAATGTGGAGCTCACCTATTGGCTAGATTGGCTGGTGAACAAGCCCCCAGGATTTTTCCTGTCTCTGAATGCCCGTACTGGGATTACAAGGTCTATGCTGCTGTGCCTTGGGTTCTGTGTGATTGCGGGGATCCAAACTCAGGTTCTTGTGCTCAAACAGCAAGCACTTCACCCAGTGAGCCACCATCTTACCCCATAATAATTCGTCAGATATGAGCCTTTAGACCAGTGCATTTGATTTGAAAAGATTGTGTCATTATATATATATTTAATGAGGCTATATCTGTAAAGTATATAGACACTCTGAACCAA